ATGGGGCCTGTGAGAACGTGTGCGGTTTTAGATAGAAAGAAGGCAACAAATCAGAGATGCTTGATTCCCTTGTATAACTAGTGATAACTAGTGATCCTGAACCATGCACTAGTTATGCCTCAATAGGCTTAGGCTTCTCACAATGCAGAGCATTTCTTCTTCACTTACCTCTTTTCACTCTCTGTCTAAATATAGTAGTGGTATATAACAATCATGAGCAATTAATAAACTGGCCCTTCCTCCTATAGTTTGCCTTTTGTCCCATCTCTCTCTGCTCTCTCCTCTTTTCCCTTACTCCTAACCAGTTGTAGCAGATTGCTGCCCCTCCCTGATCCTGATTCTGCTTTCTCTGGAGCTGTCGTCCTGCTAAAATAGAGATCTTACAATATAAAGTCACCTAGGTGACTGTTGTGTTGTTATGAACTGGCATTATATAATGAAATGTAATTGAAATAGAACTGAATTAAATGTTTTAAAACTAGGGCTTAATAGATAATATTTCCCCATCTCCTTCATGGTTTGAGACTCAGCTAAAGAGGAAAGAGGCTAGTTTCACATGAAATGCTGGAGTGCACTGATATCGTAGTGCTCTCTGGAACAGTATGTTTTTTATTATAGGAAAAAACATGCATCTGCCACTAGGGCTCAGTCTAATCATAACTTAGTCCGTCTCCTTCCTTCCACCCACACTGCATGTTAGTTAGTCTGCTGAGACACTGAGAGAAAGGGGAGCACTTTATAGAGCACATTATAGCACACTGTCACACATTACAATCCCACCTTCTTAAATCCCCCAAACCAAAACCTGTCATGTGACACAATCAAGCTGAAGCTGACTCACACATTCTGCTGTTTTTCCCTTTTCACTTCACTGATTTTCTATGCAAATGTGATTTTTCTCTTCAGGGGCTAAAAGTTACTCAACTTAGCTGTGTTTCTCCATAACAATCATGAGACCTACTGAACAGATTACAATTGATGCGTGTGACAGAGGAAAGAATGATGCAGGAAGCCTTAAACAGGCCTTAAAAACCTTTTGGCTAGTAGTATATAAACAGAATAATCATTTGCTAATGTTAGAGAAGAATGCAGTAATACCAGTAATATTATAAAATAGATGTGACTGACACATTTAAGCTAAGTAGAAGGGAAGAAATCTTTTACATCCATCCGTGCATCTAATCAAACTTCTGCCACAAACTGCTATTTTGTGGTGTGTGTGTGTTATGCTGCATCATTGTGTTGTCTTATCATTGCATTTTCCTCTGACTGCAAGTGAATTGAATTCTAGGGTGCAAACATCATGTTCACATGGCCTTGAACCTTGCAGCCACATCTGAAAACATTATTCTTGGAAGACAGCTCATGATCCTGCAAAACTAACTGAGAAGTGTTTAGTAAAAGTATCATAACTATATATCATTTGGACCGGTCTAGACTGACATAATTCAACAACAAGAACAGCTGTCACACCTTACTGTGTGCTTTGACCACCACAGTCAAATCATTATTACAACTCAGTCACAACAAAGGCCACAAACAACCTTAATGCAACGATTTCTTGCAAAGGCAGCTCACAGTTTTCACTTCCCTTATTTGTGGTGTATGCTCAGTATGCATTTGTTTGTATCAGATACTTCTAATAGACTTCAAAAAAGTATAGAATAGATGATTGACAAGTATTTTGTCCTCAGATGTCCCTACTTGCACAAAAGACCAGAACCCCAGGCTGTGATTTCTCATTTTCAAACATGGTTGAAAGCAAAATCAGTTTCTTCATAAACTAGAGGTCAAAAACGGGTCATGCAGTTGCTAACTCATTTGTATAATTGCAATACTTCCTCCGTCAAATTCAACTGGCCAATTTATTGTTGGCTAGTTGGAGAAAGAAGAGGATGAAGATTGTAGTCCCAACTACATATCTGCAGAGGTATGGAGAAGACAGAAGTGAGCGGGGGTTTTTGGAACAGATTGTATAGCACACTCTTGGAGAGTGAGAGGATGTTTTAGAAATGGTACTGTGTACTCGTACCAGTTTTCAAGATCCAGGGTGATATGGAGAGTTGTAGTAACTACAAAACAATACATTCATGAGCCATACCATGAAGCTGTGGGAAAGAGTTATGAAGTGAGGTGATGATATAGGCATAGGCATCGCTGTAGCTCAGGAGGTAGAGTAGGTCTCTTCTATGAATGGGTGAATGAGGCATGTTAGTAAAGTAAAGTGCTTTGAGTGCTCTACCAGAGTAGAAGCGTGCTACATTAGAACCAGTCCATTTACCATTTACCTTTATTGGTTTCAGGCCAAGAAAGAGCAAGCGATAGATATGATGGCTGCTTTGAGAATGTTAATGGAGAAAATAAATAAGGTTAGAAGGAGCTGTTTGTGGAATTCCTCTTCCAGAGAGCGTTTTCATTCAAAAAACTGTAAGTCAATTAGCGTTTTTGTCGGTTTATAGGTTATTTGGTATTTTATGAGTAAGTCATAAAAGTGCTTTCTTGCTAGGTCTAGTAAAGTTAGCTACACCTGCCCACACCTTTCCCACTTTCCGTGAGATAACCCAAAGAATGGGAAGATCCAACAGGATCAGAAAACTGATTTGTGATTGAAGACAAATCATTGTGAAGGTGCTCATCAGCAGATTTTTAATGTTACAGGATGCTAGTTGTGTTTCCTCATTTTCTCCACAAGCGCTTTTTCTCCGCCAGAAAATGTCTTCATATGTAAAACTGTAAGGCACGTAGAGTTTCCTTCTGTGTTTACATGATTATTTGGCCATTTTAACAGGAGTTTGTGTGTTTTCCCATATTTTATACATATATGTTTTAAAAAAGAAGCAAAAAGTCCAAAGTCCACTGAGTACCCTTTTCTGTAAAAACAAGCCCTGTGGCACATTATCTGTCAGTCAAAAGCATCTCAGTGTATACAGCGTCCAGCACCATGCATTACGCTTTAATTAGTACAGTTCCACATAGAGGCATAAAGGCATTTCTCTCTGTAATCAAATTTTTTAGACATTTGTCTGATAGCTTTTCCCCTTTCCCGCTTTTGTGTGTGTGTGTGTGTGTGTGTGTGTGTGAAGGAAGATACCTCTAGGTCTGTCGTCACTGGGGCGAGTGACCAGAATGGAACGTTTGACATGAAAACGTTTCCACAGGGGCACGTGCTGCGTGTGCATGTTCCCAGAGTTCAACGTCTTGTGGTCTGAATAGGAAATTAGGTGGACTTACTGCCATGACAGTCAGGCACAAAACCTCGAAGGCCATGCCCATTTGATGCTATTTACTTTTACACACCTAAGAATGTAACTGCGTAGGATAGGCCAAAAGACCCACTGTGGAAGACTCTGATTCTGTCTAGCTCTCCTATAGAGCTTTCCTAGTAACTGTCTGTTTCCTGGAATTTCCTCCATACCTTGAGACAGCACACCTTTTGGCAATGGCACATATTGATCTGACATCATGGACGACTGGAACTATTTTTGCAACCTCTGTAGGGTCCAGGTATCACCACCTATGCTATACCTTCTAATGAGTCTGCCTAAAGGAAGCATGTATAATGTAAACAGAATGGGTTCCAGCATAGAACCCTGTGGAACTCCATAATCACAGGACTCCCCTTTTACATGAGCAAACTGGACTCTGTTATGTAGATATAGACAGATATAATTTAAAACACTGCAGCGCAGTACCTTTAACACATATGGCATGCTGTGATGTCTGTAGTATCCCGGCTGTGTCCTTAAGCTTCCCTTATAACTATTCCCGTAAATCCAAGCGTGGATTACCAACCAGGCTCAGTGGATGACTGTCCTGTCCACTTTGCCTCCAGGTTATCTTTGTGTGAATACATTAGTGGTAGTTTGATTAAAGGCAACTAAAACTGTAAGGGTCAGACAGTCAATCCTGTCTTACTGTGTATCCTTGTGTTATTGCATGAAGTCAGGACTTATCTACCCAGTCTGAGCAATGAAGACTGAAAGCACTGGGAAAGAACCAGGATTTTTATTTGAACTGTGTTAAGGTTCACTGATTTGTTTGTTATAGCATTTTATATTAATTAAGAACAATATTCTGCTAATGTTTTAATTTATTTTTTCTCTCCAAGGCGTATAAATTAAGTTTTTTTTAACAGGAGCACCACCAGTAGTGGTAAATAAAATCACTGGACTGTGGGACAACAGACCTGCCCCAATAATGAGTTAACCAACTTTTTTTACTGGGTCGACTTGACCTGATCATTAGCAGTACACTCTCACAAGCGAAAAGGTTTGGGGTTCAAACCTCTTGGACAGTAAGGCTTTTCTGTGTGGAGCTCTTGGCTGTGACTGTGTTGGTTTTCCTCCCCCGGTTACTGTATAGAATAAAGCACTGTGTGAATGTGCCTTGTAGTCAAAAGCATGCAGTCAGTTAAACTAGAAAAGTGTCCTTTTTTTTATTTATTTTGGTGCCAGGTCATTAAAAGCTGATAATAAAACTGCTCCCATTTGCCATAGGAGCTACTCAGTTTGGTCGTACAAATATTAGATGAACGTCTGTTATTTTACTTTTCTCAAGTTTTCTTGGAGTCCACCTGAAAGATGTACACTTAGTTGTGCAGTGTAATGTAAGTCAGTGTCTTCATAAAAAATAGGTATGCATGTGGATGTCCACAGGAAGGGTAATTTCAAACACTCATAGACCTCAAAAGTAAATGCATCAAAGTGTACAGTGTGGTTTTGTTTCCTGGTTATTGACTGGATATGATTTTAATGTGACATGACAAGCAGAAATGTAGGGAATACCTGTGAATTTCAGGTGTATATGCATATTTTGTATTGAAACATGTACAACAACAATCACTGGCTTTTAAATGTTGAACTAGGAGTGAGCACGTGAAACAGCAGTCAGTCATGAGGCTTGGCTACAGCAGACCACTGGGGCTGATGTCAGCCCTGCGGTATGTGCCTGCCGGGCTTGGCTGTAAGCTGACCCCCCCTCTATTTTGCTTCTATTTCCAGGGCGTGAGCGGAATGTCCGTGGATGAGAAGTCTGAAGCCCCCATGTATGTGTATGAGTCAACAGTTCATTGTACCAATATCCTCCTCTGCCTCAACGACCAGCGGAAGCAGGATATCCTGTGTGATGTGACTGTCCTGGTGGAAGGCAAGGAATTCCGAGGACATCGGGCTGTGCTGGCTGCGTGCAGCGAGTATTTCCTCCAGGCGTTGGTGGGCCAGGCAGAGAATGGCTTGGTTGTTAGCCTTCCTGAAGAGGTAAGTGTATCTATCGTATTGTTTCCCCTGACAGGTTTTGGTTGCAAGGGTGCAAAGGGTGCTGCGTTTTAGACAATGCAACAATAAAAACTCCTTGCTGGTGCAAATACAAAAACAATAGCAATAGCTTTTGCACACTTGCAGACAATCTTTGACTATGCCTTCTATCTACTCCCACCTCAAGCTAAAACACACAGCTCTTAACAACTCATGTGTTTTTATCACGTAAAAATCAACAAGGAAGGTTGCCGGTTTAGCTCAGTGCGTTGAGCAGCTGGCCTGGGTTCAAGTCCTGTCTCTCTCTCTCCCTCTGCTTTCCTGTCATCTCTTCACTGTCTCTGTCAATAAAGCTGATAAAAGACAAAGTCTTACATGAGTAATACTGTGATGATTTTCTATGGTTATAATTCAAATATGGCTTATACCTGCACAATAGATCCAAACAAGGAACAAAATATACAACATGGGGGATGGCTCATTAGGAATACCACTGTGTTTCATAGAGGGAGGGGTCATTTATGGCCAGGTGTGATTCTGTTTTCATTCAGTAAACCATTCTTTGATCTTGATGATGTTGTAGTGTGTATATAGTGGATAATTATGCTTATCTAGATCACTTAGAGCTGCTTTGGAGTGCCTCAGACCATGAGGAGGAAGCCGAAAGCTAAATAAATACGCTAAATAAATTCAAACAGGACCCTAGGGTGGGGGCAGGTTATCTACGTGTTTAAAACATTTTGTAATATGTCACAGCAGCTATGTAATACATTATATATCATTTTTTTTGTGAACACGAATCTGTCCCAGGACCTCCCCACCCTTCCACATACATACATGGAAAGCATCTAAATACTTTCTGTCACTCCGATGAATGCATCAGGAGCAATTGCCCAAGGACACTTTGGCATGCAAACTGGAGCACCTAGGAATTGAACCACCTGCCTTCTGAATAGTTGATGACCTTCTCTACCTTCTGAGCCACAGCCACCCGAAAGTAAGACTCAGTATGACATATGGAATTGGTGTGGACGTGGCTTGCAAAGTGGCTTGCAGATGTGCAAATGTGCGCTTAAGTAGCACATACTTTGTGAGAGTTGTTACCTATTGAGGAATCAGCTGATGCGGGCTTGCATCAAGATCAGATGAGCTAATCTCATCTTTGTGGCTTGGCTCAGTTGTTGTGCTCAAGAAAAATGCAACTTATTAGGGTCAGGAAACTTTGAGACACTTGAGGTCTGTGACCTTAACGTCTAAATTCAGGTCATTTCAATTGCAACACAAAGTATATGTTTGAAGTATTTGATTATCACAATGCAACATTTGCTATCGCACGTCTAGCACAGTCACGCTACAACAGCTAGCTAATCATACTGTTTCAAGATTTATCAAGGACACAAATGCAAACACAACAAGAAAGTTTACTGAACAAAAGCAAAAAACTTTAGGAAAGCAAAAAGAAAAAAAGGACTGAAGAAATATTCACATGGAAACCTCGAAAGTAAAAAAAAAGGACACGACTGTATCGATGCAGATAATTACTAAAGGGAGCAAAACAAATGGTCATGCACAAAGAAAGTCACTCCAAAAATAAAACTGCACATAGGCCAACAGTATTAGACCACAGAGAGAGATTCACACGAGACACAGGGTAAAAGGAAAACACTAGGAAACACAATGAAAATACTTCAAACCTGACTCCATGACAGAAACATGTAAAGAAGCTGCACATGTGGACAAATAGCAAAGTAAGGAATATGGAGATCCCTAGTGCAGTTCCAGGAAAAAATGATATTACTCTTTAAGATGTTGCATCTGTGTTTAAATACAGGAAAAAAACAAAGCATTGTTTTATGCCATTTAAAGAAGGAAGTTATTAGGACAGAGCAGAGGTCTGGGGAAGGTTTCTTTTATGTTTTGAGATAAAATAAGAAGTAGTCACTTGATTTGGATTCATCTTGGTCCCTCTCTCTAGGGGCTTGGCCAGCCCTTCGGGTTTCACAGTGGTACTATCAAATATCCCAGAATTTCACCTGAAATCCATCTGCTTCCGTTTTAATAATTTATTACTTCTCGGCCACATGTACTGATTTTCTCTTCAGGTAATTTGTTTGTTTTGCTTGTTTTTTTTACTGTATTCTGTTGCTGTAGAACATAGGCAACATAGATATTACTGTGTATTTTTATTTGTTCTCTAAATAACGTCAAAAACATTATTAAACATTCGTTTAGCTTAAATCACTAGAGATTATTAGCTAATTGTAACCTTCTGCTAGGACATCGCTATTTGCCAGCCAAGGAACTGATGTACATTATTATTTTAGTTTGTTAAGAAAAATTCTCTTCCTTTTCTGATCAAATTGGGCTTCAGCATTTGTTTACAGTACAGCTCCAGATCCAGGTGACAGCGAGTCAAAATTATGTTACCTATGTCCAGCAGCAGTCTGCATTCAGCTATAAATTGATATGGATCAGTTAATGTCTTTTATTCACTGTAACATTTAACTTTTGGGTGATGGCACCAAAACGGAGAGAGCAAAAGAAACAGGCGAGAGTGGACACGTAGTCAAAATCACCAGAAATGATAAAGCTTTGGCTTCTGTTTTACCCACAACGATTGTCCAATCCCCGCTTGTGCTTATAATAATTATTGTAAGATTATATTTTTGATATTTTCTAGTTTCTAGTTGAGTGATGAGGATGGAGAAGAAAGGACAGATTATACACAAAATAGTGAAGTCGGGTGGAAAAACAAAAGTTATTTTTCACAAAGTCGTTTTTTTTTATGTATTTCACAGATGCTTTGTGTGTTTTCCAGTAGCACACTGGCCATTCTGAAGAGAACACATTGATATGAATGGGAGCATTTTACAGGATTGACTGCAAACATGGGTGCCACTACATTGCTGTGATGGACTACAAATCTATTCTTCACTTGTGAAATTAGGGTACACGATGCTCTGTGCTGAGTCTGAGTTTGCATGAATTCAAAAGCGTGTTGTGCATGTTTCTCATCTTGTCGGGTTTGCCGCAAATAGTTAATTAACCTCTTTAAAGACTGCGTCTTTGCCTCGCATTTGATAACTAAAGGCTGCACCCTCGAATGGGTGGGATGGGTATTGATAAGATTTTCACGATTCTGATTCCATTTTCGATTCTGTTTAACGATTCAATTCTTTATCAATTCTCTTATTGATTCTTTTTAAAAAAGGAGAACACCAAGGTCGATTAGCTTAGAACTTTGTTTTATATCTTCTCTTTGAACCTAAATGCAAGGCACAGTGATGGCAAGTTTTGTAATAAGGCAGATTGCACACATAATATGCACTGTTAGTTGATTATTTACCTGCCACATTAACGGGAGAGGACGGGCAAACGTTACCGCTGCTGCTGGGTTGAGATTCACGAGTCCGGAGCGGAATTAAAAACACGACATTCATTTAAGGTTATCGCATGTTTTGTGAGCAAATGCTTTTGCATATTCGTAGTGTTTCCTCCCTTAAATGAAATATCTACTTTGCAAGTATTGCAAGTTGCCCTGTTGTCATCTGTTCTCGTAAAGTATAACCAAACTTTTGAGCGTTTGAGCCGCTTAGGCGCCGTGTTTCCTGCCAGGTAAATGACGCTCCGCAACGTGGTGACGTCATTCGGGGCGACTGGAATCGATAAGGGAATCATTTGCAAAAATGGCAAACAATTCCAAGGAATTGAAACAGTGGGAACCGGTTCTCAACAAGAACTGGGTTTTGATACCCATCCCTGTAGACACTACAATAGGTGATCCAGCTAAATAGGTTTGGTTTTGAAGGTACCATTGTCATGTTGATGACATCTGCAAACAGCCTATGATATTAATATTAATTACAAGGCACTGCATGCATGACATTATGATGGGAGCAGAGCCCCCGTAAACGTTTGAACCTAGAATCACCCCTGCTGTAGGATAAAGATTCAGGGAAAGGTGTACAAAGTGCTGATATTGCCAATTATCACCTGGCAGCTGCTGCTGGCACTGATGCTAGAGGCATGTAGCACTTTGAGGTGAGATCAGTGCCACCTTGGGTTCTGTGCTCATCAGGTTCAGCAACACTTCTCACTCTTCCTCACCTCAGATCTAACACTGTCGCTTTAAACAGAGCTACTTCAGAGCTCTTCAGCCAAACACATGATAAAAGCACCTCGCTGATGTATTGGTGTCACACATTCATATTCCTATAGACATGCGGTGCAGTGAAAACTGGGGCACATCCCACTTGTGCTGCAGCTCCTCACTGGTGCTAGCGTGCATTAATAAAGTAATGCCTGCCAAATGACTTTGTTCCTGCACTTACTGAAAAAGAAAAATGAGCTGTGTTTTTTTTATCTGCTTTACTCAAAGAAAGACTGCAGAGAACAGCTCACGTGTGTTCAAATCAACATCCCTGTAATTAAGTGATTGCATGCTTGAATGATGTACCAGCTGCTTTGTGTTTCAGGTGTGACACAGAGTGTAGAAAGTAATATCTTTCAAATACAGTCTTAAATGTGCCACAAAGAGTGAGTCTCACTGGGAATTTGTTCCTTTTTATTTCATTTGATAACGCATCGTATATTATTGACATTTAATCAACATGGCAGGACAACACATGAATATGAATAATCTTATATATATGAACATTAATTTGTTCTGGAGAATCTATGAATAAGGATATAAACATCAGACAATGTTATAGAATAAAGGTGATCCCCTCGCTGTAGGGTTTCAGATTTTTCTTTTATTTCTCAACTTGTGAACTTGTCTATTTATAGTATTTTTGATATAAGACACACATTTGTAATGTAGAATGGTATACAATAAAAAATCTAAATGTCACTTGTCAGGGGGTTTTTTTTGTTCTTTTCATCTATTTTTTTTTTTTTTAAATTTTAACAGCTTTCTGTGGTTCTTCTTTAGTATACCTCTCTGACACTGCAGCCATGATGTTCCAGTAATGTAACATCAGGGTTTTTTTGATGTTACATTA